ATTAGATACACAAAAAATATTTGGATTCCATTTATGACTTCCATGAACAAAACTAACTTACAGTACAGTAGTAGGAAATATTCCTTTTCCAAGTCTGTCAACTTGATCTCCTCATTTCTGATGTCCCTGTACTCCTCAGTTTCTAGCCTTTTTCTCTCTAGTAAATTTCACACAGCCCTGAGCTGTGTATGTATACTAATAAAAATGTAAAACATAAGATAATAATACATGTCCTAAAATTGGTCTATTCACATTACTTAGGATATCACTCTTAAGAACTGTTCTCAGAGAGTTAGTGATAAGAATAAAGAAGTTCTAATACGCCGAACCGAATCTGCTATAAACACTAGTTTGAACCTCATAGTGGAACTCCATTTCAGAATCTCATAATCCATCCTCTGACTAACTCATTGTCCTACGTTCCACCATATATACACCTATCCACTTCTGAAGACTTAGCCAGGCTAATTTTTCTCTGAAGCAGTTTGGTTTGTCTTGTTTTTTGCCTGTATTCTTTTCCTTTAATTTGCTGTTGTAAATAGAAATCATTACTTCAACAACAAAAATACAAACTAATACCTTGAAACTTTGGGGGACAGCTATTTGGATATTCCAAAAAAATTAACCACATTTTTAATGTTCTGATTGCACTCATTAGGAATTGTAAACTAAGCTTTACAATATATAATAATGACTTCTATCTTCCACTGCTAACACCTAAAGATGGATTGCTTCATTTTCTATTTTTTTTACCTCTGTAGATCCGTGTTCCTCGGTAGCAAAAGGGAGAAGACTTTCATAGAGTTTCGTGAATGCGCCCAATCCATTCTCTATGATATCTGCTTCTATGCTGGGATCCAATGGTTCTGTCTCTGTGAAATCCAATTCCCACACTGTGTCTACCCAGGCTAAGCAGGGAAAACAGAATGGAATTAATAAGTGCTCAATAAGAAGTAAACAGAAAAAAAGCAATCTTTTTTGACTCTGAGTATACATGAGAAAAATATTTTGATCATAATCCACTTTGACTGCAATACAGATGCTGTATAATTAAAGGAAGTAGAAAAAGCTCAGGAAATACATATTTTTAAAACTAATAACTGACATGAGACTAGTCTTCTTCAAAAATTATCATAAAGGAAAATGCCTTTTTGGGACAATTCCAGTGAATGACTTAGAAACACATAATGATCAGAATCTACCACATAATCAATTTGACGAAGAAACAGATTAATCAAAGATTGGCTCATATTACCTTTGTGAAAGCTCATAACCATGTTAATAAACCCAAATAAAGTTTGAGAAACATTGCTTTCTAACACCTGTGCTCACAATGGGTTTGGGAAAATTATTTCTCTCTCCTATCAATTTGCTCCCCAATTGCTCACCTTATTTCCACATAGTAGGTCACTATCGCTCTTTATTTCGACCTGCTTTGATTAAGTTTACTTGCATTTACAAGGCTAACGATAAGATGTAAGTCCATAAAATCCTACAGACTACTACGGCTGCACGTTACCCAAGTGGAAAGAGCTGAAGAGGTTCAACTCGTGAAGGTAAAGTAAAACAACTCAAATTAGGAGACACTCAGGGTTGCCTGTCAACAATCTTTCCTATGGAACAGTTTAACATGCCTCAAGTATTCATTTACTTTTTCCTAGGCACTCTCCTAACAAATGCTCGTGCATCCTTTCTAGCCTCCCGTCCTCTCGGACAAGGAGGCTTCAAAAAGTTCACGGAAAAAAGCATTCTTTCCATTCCATTTCCTGAAAACCTCTGGAAGCCCCTCATTTATCTTATATTTCTATCTTTAAATGCACACCAATATTTCTGATCTCATTTCTGGACCAAAACTACTAAGGTCAAACAAAACCTAGAAAGATTTGATGTCAGGAGAATTAGACCCTATTAATGAGTCTGCCTTTACTGAGCTTTAAACTCACATCACTTATTTTCTACTCCACAGGTTCCCAAACTTATTTGGCCTACTGGCCCCTTTTTCAGACTTAGCACCTTGCTGGCAATTAAAATGTTGGACTATAGCCCATAATCCAGGATAAAGTATAGGTATTTGCTTTTGCAGTCCCCTAAGATGGTTCCCCCACAAGGGGTGGTGTAGCTCACACATGGAAACCTGTAACTCAACAAAAAACTCACTGCCATCAAGTTGATTCCAACTCATGGTGACCCTCTAGGACAAGGCTCCTATGGGTTTTCGAGACTATAACTCTTTTGGGGAGTGAGAGCTTCATATCTGGTGGACCCTCGGAAGGGCTTGTCCAAACTACTGACCTTGTGGTTAGCAGCCAGTGTCTACTCCACTGGACCATCAAGGCTCCTTTCTACTTCACTTCGGACAGAACAGAAGAATGGAGATTCCACCTGCCTCTACATACCTTCACTTCAGGCAGAGGAAAAACAATATGTACCCATCCACTCAATGATTTTGAGAAAATAATATATGGATACCTCTATGGCAAGTGCTAAGGATACAAAGCTGGGTGCTGCAAAATTCTTGTCCACAAAGATCTCACTAGCTCATGCTTTTGATTAAAATAAGAGAGCCTGAATAAGCAGAAATGCCAGAGTTTTTGAGTCAAACAGAGCAAGGCTAATACCTGGATTTGATCAATCATGTGTGATTAAACTCAAGAATTATCAACCTGAAGAATTATTGTGAATCAGGTGTACCAGGGACCTAACAGTGTGCTTGCCACATACACACTCAAAGACTAGTTACCTTTACAATGGATAAATGGTAAAATAGCAAAGGATGAGTAGAACGCTAGAGCACGTAATAGGAAAAATCACAGAGAAGAGGAACTGCAAGTGGGGAAGATGATTCATGCAAGTGAAATTGTTTCCAAATAGAAAGTAAAGCCTAGGGCAGTGCAAAGTGTTAGGGAATAAAATTGTTACAATAGAATTTCAATATGGAGACTGGCAATTTGTAACAGCAGTTATTCAACAATTATTATGTGTTAGGTTAATCTTCACAAACACTAGGTGAAAAAGATATTTTAATCTCCATTTGACACATAAACACCAAGGTTAAGCTTGTCTGATGATATATGGCTACTCTGTGGTGAAGACTTCAAACCTCATGCTGTGGAAAAGCTGTCTGGGTTAGTCAGTAAAGGATTTGGTCAGTTGTTTAGGAAACAAAGGAGACATTAAAGGTTTAAAGACTGGACAGATTGCACGTTTTGCTTTAAAAAGTCATCCTGGCAGAGGTGTGGGCTGAAAGCAATGAATACTCCCTACTGCAAGTACCTGGATACGCTCTATGAGGGCCTGAACCCGAGAGCGGCATCAGCGATGGAGCACCAGCCCATGTAAGCTATTCCTAAGGGTCAGATGAGTGATTGCGGGTATGAACGTCATAGGAGGCCGCGGGACTCTCAGGCTTGTACGTGAGCTATGCTGTTAGCTGACTTTGAGAAGCCATCTTTAAAATACATGTTTAGCTGGCCAAAAAGGATTCCTTTCCACGCAGGTGACGTTTGAGGTGCCTGTGAGATGTTTAGTTGAACTTGCGACCTCCTGAAGAACTAGATCAAGAAAAGTAGCCGAAGAAACAGATTTGCTAATTGAAACAAAAGCAATAAATGAGGATGCCCTGGAGATCTGCACAGAAGACAAAGAAGAGATGTCAAAGACCAAAACCAGATAAAGCTTTTCTTTTAAAACGGTTATCTTACTGGGCGGAGCCCACTATTCTAGCCTCTAGCTCATTAAGGCCCTACGGGATACTGGGGAAGCTCTCCATTCTCTCACACAACAGGCCGGGCGCCTAGCCCGCCTACCCCTCTCCATTTCCTCACCAGAACCCGCGAAGGTGCCGTCCGAGGCCTCGCTACCCCCCGGCTGCAGCGCACACTTCCTCCTCCCATGACCTGCGTCTCCATCGGCTCACCTAGACGGAGATCCAACGGGCACCACGGCTGCAGACTGACTCCCAGGCTCCGCAGCGCCATGGCCAGCAGCCACCACTCGTCTTCCGGGTAGTCAATTTCGGAGCTCGCTCCCGCGCGCGCTCCCAGGTCTTCTTGGTGGCCACTCAGAACACACAGGACTTCTCTAAGAGCCAATCAGCGCGGCCCTGCTGAATTTATCTCATCAACCAATCGCCTGTGTCCTCCGCCGCATGCGCAGAACGAGCTCACCGAGCGAAGGTGAACTGAGCTCTGGTGGTGCCGTGGTTAAAGCGCTGGACTGTTAACCAAGGTCGCGGGCTGGAATTCACCAGGCACCGCACCCTCCGCGGTGGAGACAGATCGGTGCTCTGCTCCCTAAGGATTCCAGCCACGGTGGGACAGTGTTTTGTTCTGTCCCATGGGGTTGCTGTTGAGTCAGAATGGATTTAACGGCAATGGGTGTGGGTTTTGGTGTTTCCCTCCAAGGTTCTAAGGTAGGCAAACCTAATACCTTACTACCTTGGTTTCCTTAAATGAGGGATTTTAAAGAGAACTTGAAGTGTCATTCTTCCTCTTTTAACTGTCACTTGTGCCCCGTCACAAGGAACATCTCAGCAGCGTGTCAAAAGTCATTCTTTTGGAATTAAAACGATAAAGGGCCGAGCAACGGCGAGTACTCGGTAGCACCCGCAAGCATCTCGTGGACCGTGGGCCTACACTTTGCAAGGAGGCCGCAAGGACCGTGACGATTCAGGGCGAGGCCGGCCACCCGTCTCCCGCTGCGCATGCGCAATGTCTTCACGCCTCGCCTGCTCGCCCGAGCAGGGCTTTGCGCAGGCGCTGGTACCCCGCTGGCCGCTGCCGGAGAGTACCCGAGTCCGCCCGGCGGTCCTCCCTCGCTGTAGCACTACGGTGCGCCGCACTGCCCCGAGCCTGGAGGCTAGTCCTGCTGCCTGGCGCCGAGTCCCGCCCGGCCGGCGTAGCGGCGACCTGTGCGGGCTTTGTCGCGCCACTCCGGGTTTGGGGTGCCCCGCGGCGAGGCCGGCATCGCTGCCCGGATCCTTGTCCGCACGCGGCCACCGGCTGCTGGGGGCTGCAGGGGCTAGCGGCCCTTGAAGGCGCCTCCGCGGACACCGTGTCCAGCGCCGGTCGCTCTAGCCCCTCCCCGCGCACCGCAGCCCACCCGCGTGCACGCTACTAGCCCGAACCCTAGCCCCGCCGGGCGCGCAGAGCGGAGCTGCGGTTCCATCGACCAAGCCGGAGCCAGCACCCAGCACCCAGCTCTCTGGTTTGCACCTAGCTCAGCGCCCACCCGAGAAGGAGGAGGAGTGGGCCTTGCTGACAGTAGCCTAAGCCCAGCCCAGCCCAGCCCAGCCGACGGTGCGATGAGCTTCTTCGGCTTTGGACAGAGCGTGGAGGTGGAGATTGTGCTCAGCGATGCAGAGAGCAGGAAGCGGGCCGAGCACAAAACGGAGGACGGCAAGAAGGAGAAATATTTTCTCTTCTATGACGGGGAGACGGTCTCTGGGAAGGTGAGCCTCGTACTCAAGAATCCTAACAAGCGGCTGGAGCACCAGGGTATCAAGATCGAGTTCATCGGGCAGATAGGTGAGTTAGTGCTACGCCAAGAGCAGAAAGTAGCACGGAGGTACGGGTGGAGGAGTGGCTTGGGGCCCAGCCCTAGAGGCCTGACAGTCTCCTGTCAGACACATGCTGGGGCCTGGGCCCAGCTTACAAGCCCGGCTGGCTCATGGTGACTCCCTGCGTGACTGACTGCCATCCCTGTCAGATGTGGCAGCGCCTGGCGAGGAGGTGGGCATGAGAGGCGGCCCCATCAGGCCCTTACACCTATGGGTACCTGCCCCTTAAAGTACCCATGTGGCCTCTTTCACATCCAGCTAAACTCAGCTCTGGCTCTAGATGGACCTGTTAAGAGAGATGATCCTTGTAATATTGACCTTCTCAACTTTATATGGGGACTTCCAGAGTCAAAGGGTGCCCTGCCCCACTTAATTGCATTTCTACCCATGCCTTCTTCCTTTGAGATGTGGATAAGAGGCACTGCCTGCCCAGTTTTCTCATTTTCATGCTCGTCCCATCTCCTGGTATTTATAATCCGTGGCCTTATTGATTACCTAGCTGGTATTTATTTAAGACTTGTTAGAATGCTAGTTTTCATTTTTTTCCTTAAAGACAAATCGTATCTCTAAAGCTACACTTAAATGATCCACACTTCTTAATGCTGGAATGGTCTTTAAATATGATTATTACACATTAGGAGCAGATGATCAAAAGCAGTAAAGATAGAGAAGATTTGGGAGCTTGCAGTCAGGACTGGGTTGTGTGCAATTCTAAAGTTACTTGTAGCATTGTGTTTATTAAAACCTGAGGGTTTTAATTTATTTCATTGTGAAATAAATCAGGCAGGAGTAGATTCAAATAAGTACCCTGTGAGCTGAATAGTCCTCGTAGAGAAGCCCATAACCAATACCACACATTACATCTGTAGTAGTGTTTTCAGTGCCTTCCTGGTCAAACTTGCTAAACATGCTCTCAGATCTTGAGAGCAGAGCAAAGAATTTGTTACCCTCTTTTACAGAGGCAGGACACACTGAAGCATAATTAGAAGGAACCCCAGAACAGCCCTGTACACTGGCTATTCAGTCCTGGGGTCAGCCTGGAACATTTCGCCTCTGCTACTTAAGAAAATTAAACAAGATTGAAGACTGGTTGATCCTCTGGGAACTTTTTTGGTCCTTACTGAAAAGCCAGAATATGAAAGGCCTTTCACAACACCCGAGTTACTCATTGATGCTAGTGGCTAAGCACTCAACTGACTAAGAAATTCTAGCCCACCCAGAGTCACCTCAGAGAAAAGACCTGACTGCCTGCTCCAAAAGGTCACAACCAGAGAAACCTTACAGAGCAGTTGTCACTCTCAGTTGGAATCAGTTCGACAACAATGGGCCTTAGGGTTGGGGTTTTGTTTGTATGTTTTGTTTTCACTGTACCAGATGAGGGTGTGGAGAATGAGTTGCATACCTTCTGATTTCCTGCTTCTGGCTTAGACAGGGTCAGCGGCAGTGCTTCTCAGCGGGACTGCAGATATTTTGGGCTCCATAATGCTTGCTCTTGTTGCAAGATCTTTTGTGGCATCTCTACCTATTCAATTCCAGTGGATCCACTAGTGTGACCGCCACAAGTATCTTTAAATAATGCCAAGAAGAGCTCCGACTTGTCCCTGGTGAAGAACACTGGGTAGATGGAATGAATATGTTATTGTTGTTAGGTACCGGCAAGTCAGTTCCGACTCTTAGCAACCTGCATACAACAGTGGAATGTTGCCATCATCACAGTCATTCCTGTGCTTGAGCCCATCGTTGAAGCCACTGGATCAGTCCATCAGCTTGAGGGCCTCTGTCTCTTTCACTTCCCCTCTAGTTTACCAAACACCATGTCCTCCAGGCACTGGTCTCTCCTGACAACATATCCAAGTATTGCCATCTTTCCCTCTAAGGAGCATTCTGGTGGTCCATTCTTCCAAGACCAATTTGATTGTACTTTTGGCAGTCCATGTTCCAGCATCATAATTCCTATGCAGCCATTCTTCTTTGGTCTTCCTTATTCAGTGTCCAACTATCTTTTACATGCAGATGAGATTGAAAATACCATGGCATGGGTCGAGCACACCTTAATCCTCAAGTTAACATTCTTGCTTTTCAATCCTGTAAAGAGATCTTGTGCAGCAGATTTAGATAAAGCATTTTTAATTTAATATAAAACATTTTACATAGTAAGCATAATATGTGAAATTGTCATGAGGTCCTTGTGTACTTGGAATTTTGTATTTTCAAGTAGTATTTTAAAGTTGTTGCACATATCCTTTGATTTCATAAGAGAAATTATAAACAGATAAATTTAATTTGTATGTACTACCATACTAAGGCCTGAGAGGGAATCTGAAAGGTTCAAGACTGAATAAATTAGCTGGTCTAGGCTGAATATAAAGTAGTTGAGCAGGCTGCCTGCTGTACCTGCCCTGTCTGGTCTAACGTCTAAAATCCCAAGGTATTATCCCAGCTGAGATTCCTTAGAATCCTCTGATGTTTCCATTGAAAGCTCTTCCCAGGCACCGAGTACTCTAGGCTGAGGTGCCCACGCAGCTTTGGGGCAGTCTTGCCCCTCTTCTGGCCCCAGCTTTCTCACCTGTAAAGCAGGGGTAATAGAGTCACTTTGAAAGACAATTGAACATTCCAGAAGGTTACACTTTGAGCCCCTATGTTGTTGACTCTGGGCGACCCCATGTGTGTCAATGTAGAAATGGACTCCCTCGAAACCACCAAGCTTTCAGCTAGTAGTTGCATGCTCAACTGTTTAAATCTCTCCTGTTTAAATCTCTCAGAAATTCCAGACAATGGAGTGGTAATAGAAGGATTCAGAATAATGCATAATGCATTTATCAATATTTGACTCTAGGATGTATTGCATGATTGGGGACAGAGTATCAGAATAGCCTATCGAGTTATGTTTAACTTGCACATGCTTGGTATAAGAAGGAGTTTGTGTTCCTAAAATGCATAAAGGGGCTGATTGGAATGTGCTACTAATCTAGTTCAGAACACAGTGACTTTTTAGGATACCTGGTGACACTGTCAGGGAAGCATTGGTCTGCTAACCCCAAGATAACCAGCAGCCGCTTTTCATGAGAACAATGGATGGCTGTGTCTGCTACCATCAAGACTGACAGCCTTGGAAACCCTCGGTAGGGTCGCTAGAGTAGAAATCAACTCCATGGCAGTGGGCTAAGGATTTTTTCTTAGTCCCTTACATTTCTAGTCTTCAACCTTCCAGGATTCCCCCAAAGAATCAGAGTGAGGATTAGTTGCATCTCCGAGATCATAGGAGCTGACCTCAGGCCCAAGGGTGAGCCCAGAAAGTAACTCTGCTGAAGTTGTGGTCATGTGGTTTTCTCCTTCATTGCACTCTTTGACTATGCATGAAGTAATCTGATGATCTGATCGGAAGTTGGTGAAACTTTGGTCACGTTCTGAGGCCTGACTATACAAATGATATATGATGGTGAAAAAATTGATATTGCTGTATTTTGTTCCCAGTTGATTCCTTCCTCATTGTTTCCATGATAAAACATAATGGGAAAATAATTACTTAATTTTAAAAAAAACAGTGATTTGGGTTTCCTGCCTTCCAGCGTGAACTTTACTAAAAATGAAGTGGGGGAGAATTTTCCAACTTGAAATGAAGTCTATTACCTTTTTTTAGTCTTATGATTAATCTCTTTTTCCTCTTGATGAAAGTATATATGTCCCACCTATGTTTCCACTAAGGGCCAAGCAGACTGAAGTTATTTACCATATATACTCGAGTATAAGCCACCTGAATATCAGCCGAGGTACCTAATTTTATCACAAAAACTGCATTAAAAATGTGCTGAAAAACTCAGCTTATACATGAGTATATACGGTATATTACACCAAAGCAGGGGGCAGGGGGGGAGACAACCTTACTGCCATCAAGTTGATTTTGACTAATAGTGATCCTATAGAGCAGCGGTTCTCAACCTGTGGGTCTCGATCCCTTTGGGGGTTGAACGACCCTTTCACAGGGGTGGCCCAATTCATAACAGTAGCAAAATGACAGTGATGAAGTAGCAATGATAATAATGTTATGATTGGGGGTCACCACCACATGAGGGTTGAGAAGGACTGCTATATAGGGTTTCAAAGGTGGTAAATGTTTACAGAAGCACACCACCTCCTCTTTCTCCTATGGAGCAGCTGGGGGGGGGGGGGTTTGAACCGCCAACCTTGCTATGAACAAGCCCAATGCTTATCCGCCAAAGTTTATAATACCAACTTTGCTAGGGAGTTGTGAGGATTGGTGATAGTATGTATGAAGTACAGAAATATAATGCTTAGCCATGTAGTAGGTACTCAGTAAAAGAAATTTAAAATGATAATGATTGCCATGTTTCGCTTTCCTGGTTAAGCTTGTTCCATCCAAAAGTTTTCAGGGGCTTCTTGTTGCCATGTAGTCTGTTTTGACTCATGTCAACCCCACATGTGCAGAGTAGAACTGCTCTATCGGATTTTCAAGACTGACCTTTCAGAAGCAGATTGCCAGGCCTTGCTTCATAGGTGGGTTTGAACCGCCAACTTCTCAGCTAGAAGATCCTTTAAAAAACTGTGACCTGTACAGTCAGTTCTTAGCTCCTTTGTTGAGTGTTCATATACATAATTTATCCAATGTCTTGGTCTGTGCTCAAATCTGTTTTCCTCCCTAAACCATGAACACTTGAAAGACATCATTGTATCCCCACCTCTAACCTCAATACCTCACAGATGGTAATGCTCAGTAAACATTTGTTAACTGGTTAAGCTGGTCAGATATAAGAATTGGCAGAAGCCATGGTCTGGGTTTTTCTCTCTTAAAAGAGTTCTTTGAATTAAAGGAAGGAAGTGTGCAGATTTGTTTGTTAATCAAGGTGAAGAACCAGGCATTCTGCTTGTTCTCCCAGAGGAGGCAGTTGACCATGAGTATAGCTCTCACCTGAGTCCATCGCAAGCCTTACCCCACCATACACTTTCTTG